TTCTCCTCCTCTCCTCCTTCTTTCCCAGTCCACTATTATGAAGCAAAGGTTGGCCCTCTGGAAAGCCCATCTCCACAATCATCTGTCAAATGCCTCAGGGAGCTACGGAAAAGCATCAGTCTAGTCAGAGGAGACAAGCTCAGAGAACTGCACTGAGAAACACTTCAACAGTTTGGAAGGACCAAAAAAAGAAAAAAAAAAAAGCCACGTAGAGAAAATGTGATAATGGAGCCACAGTTTGATGGCACCAACTCTTAACAAATCTCTGCTCAAAGCTCTGTTGTGTCCATGATTCAGTTTGAGCAAAGGGATATCTGGAAGCCACATCAAAGGGCTAATGGATAGACATTTTGTTAACATATGTAGAACTGATGCCAGGCCATAAAATAGCATTGTACTGAGTATTAGACATCTTCAGAGAAGTTTTTTCTTGTCTTATTTATTTCTTTTCAGTCTACAAATCATCTTTTCCTTATGTGCATGAATGCCTAACAGACTCAGAAGTCCAGACATTTTCATGCTCTCTTGTTCCCTGGAGTTTTGCCCCGTATCACAAATCGCCCATTTTTGAAACAGGGAAAGGAAGAGCAATGAAAAAAAAAAAAGAAGAAGAAGTAAATAAACTACAAATTCCCTTGTAGAACAGCTTCTGTTACATCAATCTAGGTTTGGTGAGGAACTTCATAATCTATTACCTTAGCATCTCTGTTTCTCAGGTCATTCCTAGGATTGCAGCCTTTAACGTTCTGTTCAAACTTGGCACAGAAAAGAATATTTTATGCCTGCAGCTTTCAAGTCAGAGCCACTCTTCAGTGGCACATTTTGTAGATACAGTACTCTATAAACAGAAGGCAAAAGAAGCAGTATAGAATGAATTTTTGGAACAGCTATTTGTTGTTTTAAAGAAGCCACTTATAAGCCTCTTCTTTTGTGTTCTACAGTATTTATGCTAGATCACAGAATAATGAGTGACTGTTAAGTTTATGCACTTTCTAGTGCACTAAGGAAATAGTTTTTGCATGACTTCTTAACTGAAAGGTAACTAAGAGAGCCCTGCACACCAAGAAATACACAGCAGGGAAAAATCCTGAAAGTTAGGGCTTGGAGAGTTCTAGAAGAGCTACCCACTTTGATATCTTTTCTATTAGTCTAAAATTTTATTGTTCCATATTTGGCACATTACATACACAGAAGCCAGACTAACAAGAAAGAATCACTATTTCTAGTATTTACTTGGAAATGGGAATGGTTGCTTCTGCATTTTAAGGTCAGTCATGTTATATCTTTATTAATATGAAAAGACAAACAATTTACTGCCAGCTCTGTCTGAATCTCAAATGAAAGCACACTAGTCGAGGTGTGAATTTCTCAGTCTGTCTTCAGTGTCACACAGAAGGATGCTAACAAAAGTGTCCTTGGTTCAATAGCCTTTGTCAAAGCAATGTCAGGAACGGCCTGCAAACGTGTCTCACCACAACAGCCTGGAACTCAGCAGGTTCTGGTACCACATGTTCCCATTTTGCAAACTGTTTGCTTATGGTGCTGTTGTCTGGAGATGTGCAGGCCTAAGTATGAGGCTTTCCACTCTCGCAGCCGGCCTGAGCACAGGCAGGATGCAAGCCCAGGCTCTGGAAGACCTTGTGGGCTTCAAGTCACAGCGTGTTTGGTCCCACTGCTTCCAATGGATTTATATGAGGAGTTTGACCTTGAATTCAGTATCCCACCTGTGCACACCTACCTCCTCTAGCTGCTATTAGGATTTAGGCTTCAGTGGCCACGGAAGGAGGACTCCAGGACATATACTGAGCATGGGGAATGTCCTCAGGATGCCCATGCAGTCATGGCTGTTCCGACATGAACAGGAGGCTGCCTGGCAAGAGCAGCGCTCTCCTGACTCACAAGGGATAACACCAGGATAAAACAGCAGAGACATCTGTGATGCTGAAGGGTCTGTGAGACTGAGCCAGTGCAGACACCAACGACACGATAAACATCACTATACCTTTTCTGTTCAAACACTTGTTACCACACTAAGAACTTAACAGTACAAACTTGCAAAGTACAGAGGATTTCAAAGTACCTTTGCCTTAGTGGGAGCAACTGAAGCTAATCCATGTGCTTACAGCTGCCCAAGCAGATGGGATGAATGAGAACAGAAACTGGAAGCATCAGTGGGTTCACTTTTCAGAAGTGACACTGTGCGTTGAGCAGGGAAGTGCCTCAGAAAGCAGCAGCACATCTGTGCCCTAGACACATCACTGCTCAATGGGGACAAACCCATTCTCCAGTGCTTGATGCTTCCACAAAGCAGTAATTATTTCCTTTTTCATTGCTTTAACATACTGAAATTTCTGAATAACATAAAGTTAAGCATAGGTGCCTAAACTAAAGTTTGCAAGTTTGACAGCTTTCATGCTTCCAAACCTTTGTGCAACAAAACAAAGCATGTATCACAAGACTCAAGAAAACCAAATCTAAAACATAGCAAATATTGAAGAAAGCAAGTCGAAACATGTTTTAACTGCTGTATTTCCTATCTGTTCTCACCAATATTTTCCTAGTATCACTTTGAATGTATTATCTAGTACTATATGCAAGACTCCACTCAAAACATGGAAAAATGCTTAAAAAGGAGGCATTGACCTGAACATTCTGGAGAACACAACCTGATTATAAAAAGTATTTTAGAAATTCCCCTTTAATGTATTTTAATAATAATATTTAACAATGATGTAACAGATATTTGTCTGAAAACTTTATGCTTTCAGCTCTTAGATCATTTTTAATAAATTTTAATAAAAACACTAAGATCTGAGAAAGGAAAGCAATGAGTTATTTACAAAGCAAGCAGTATATTAAATTCTGGTCAATATATAGACAAATACCAGCATTATATACACAAAATAATATCTAGAACTAGATTCATCAGATTTGCTCAGTATTCTGCAGTCAACTTCATGGGCAATCTCTATTTTTTAAACTTACAGCATGGTGCAATATCTGCTACCAGTTCTACTTCATGGGCTCATTTCAAGCTGCATTGCCTTTAGACCTCTGTGGTAGCTGTACCACCCACTGCTGATTTCTCATTCAGAGTTCTGAGATCTAGATTAGCTTTTGTCTCAATTCAAAATTAAAAATCAAAATTTTGACCGCTGAAAAGAACACCTTTCTATTCCACTGGATTCTTAATGCATTTCAAAACACTTTGGTCTACAAAACACTGTAAGGGTTGAGGTCTGCATTGTATTTTATTGCCTAAGTAGTTAAGGATTCCAATTTTTACCACACTAACAAAGCGAAATTAGCACCCACAAAAGTTTCGAGCTCTAAAAAACCTAAACATTCACTTGTTTTATTTTTCTGTTTCTTGGTTACATTTCCAAAGTATGTAAGCTACCACTGGCATTAACCTCAGCAGGGGGCTTGTGAATAAGGCTTTACTCGGTCTTTCAAGAAACTGAGCTTCTCAGTGTAAGAAGTGAGGAGATCCCAAAGCATTTTGTGACTGAAAAAAACAGCAGGACAGCAGAGAGAAAATGAAGCACATGCCTGCATTGTAAAGCACCCCTGAGGATTTATTTTTATTTTATTTTTAAACATTTGAACATTCTATCCTCTGAGTTGAAATAATGTGATTTAGGAAAGATTGCATATTAGCTAGTTTACTAAACATTCAAATGACAGAGAATTAGGTTAGCTGCATCCTCATTTAGAAATTAAGGTATTGTCTTTAAATGAGTAAAGAGGCTTTCCCTGAAGCTAAATTCATGGCATATAAACCAATCAGGCACAACGGCCACTGCTTTTTTCCTGCCCAGTGATGAAACTTTTGGAACTATATGTATTAATACCATAACTGAGGAATTCTACATGTCACAAGTCAATACCACAAAATGTCCATCTAAGAACAGATAAAATCATTAAGAACTATGCCTTATTAAAAGGACAAAGATAACCATTCATATTTTCCATTGAGGTTAGGAAAGAATAATGTTTAAAAAACAATCATAGTTCAGTGGATCTACTTTAGCAGCAGTTTCTGATGCTGCTGTAATTGAGGTTGCCTCAGCATTTTCATGATAAACTACACAGCCAGAAATCCCCTTCTGTGCTGCAAGCTGACATAAAAGACCTTTCACTAGGCACAAATCCTCCAGCATCACAATTTTGGATCGTCTGATTTTAGCCTGAAAAGTTGGAAGAGAAAGCAGAGGGGAAAAAAAAAAAAAAAAAAAAAAAAAAAAAAAATTAAAAAGGAAAAAAACAACTTGGAT